GGCTCCGGCGGTGCCTGGTAGCCGCAGCTGCTCTGACCTGTGAATGTTTCCTGGAGAAGGACAGACACTTTCTAGCGCGATTGGTTTTTTTCTCTTAACGCTCAGATCGTTTGTTTCGGGTTTAGACTATGGGGTTTGGTTATGAGGGACTAGAATGTTTTTTTTAAGGTGATACTCTCTAACCAATTCTAGAATTACTTCCTAGTTTCTCCCATAGGATATTGTAGTATTGTTTTACTGTTATATTTTTCCAATTTGTGGGCAATTAATCTGGGAACAGCTGTTAAGGTGACCAAGCCCAGTATGGTTAAAGTGGCACATCTGGGTTGAAGCACCTAAAATAATCTCTGCTAAAGACCTCTGCTCAGCAGTCACAATGCCTGTGATTTTGATTATAAGTCTTCCTTAGTTTCAACCCTCAGAGAGCTATCCTAGCCTTCAAAGTTCACCTGTGTGAAGTCCCACACATCCTGAAATCCACTTGGATGAGCACCATCTCGTGTTCCTGTGCCATGGTCCCTGCACCTCAGGCATGTAAAAGCTGCACCCTCTCTCCTTCTCTGCTCTCTTCAAACATACGGTATAGCTAATGAGAAGCAGGAAAAAGAGACTGCAGAATTATCAGCCAAGGAGCACGTGCTATCCCATAGACCTGTGCTTACAGAAACCCTGTGGAAGGAAGGGTTCACCCCTAGCCGCAGCCTAAGGCTACGGCACCTCGGTTTCACCCAACCTGACGCAGCACTTGTGCTGCCCCTCGCGTGACCTAACGCATGCCGAGTTTCAGTATAAAGGAGGGGACTGCGTAGTTGCAAGCAGATCCCTTGAATCCAGCATACAAACCATGTGAGGCTCAAACCCCAAATGGCACTCTCTCCTATTACCTTTATTTTTAAGCTCTTGAAACCTCATCATGTGAAAAGTTTGAGATAGGTAACATTGCCCAAATAAAATGTTTTAATGCTGTACACAGCAGTATGACTTATCTAAAAAAAAAAAAGGAAAATCAAAATGTTTGAATATTTTATGCTTTTCTTTTTCTTTTCCATTGAAATTTGTAATACCTTACCAGTTTAAACATCTCCCTCAAATTATTTTGTGATCTTGATATACACACAGTTCAGCTGTCACTTGGAGGCAGTTACTTGACAGTTCAAAGATGTTATTACAGTCAGTTGTGGGAAAAAATTATCTTATGCTGACAACTAGTATTTTCAAGACATTTGAAATGGGGAAAAACTAATTCTTTAGTCTCTAAGTTGACACAATCCATTTGTCAGGTCTCATGTTGTGGCAAAAATTATGGGTATTTTATCTCCGATGTATTACAGTGCAGTGTATAAATAGTTTAGTGAAAAATAGCTATCAGAATCCAAATTCATGTTTCACTATAATTGAAAAATCAGCATATTCTTAATAAATGCAAAAGTGAGCTTCTGTCTTTTACTGCTCCCTCAAAAGCAACTAGTCAGAGTGGTGAAGTAATTTAGGGCAGAAATTCAACTAATTTAGGTTGTTCTAAAAGAAGAATGAGTTTTTCCACTTGACACTATATAAGGTTAAAATACAAATCTTCAAAATACCCTTAATTCAATAAAAGAGAAAAAAATTAACAAGCTAAAAAGCCCTTCTATTTAATTTTGTTGCACATATTTAAGTGCAGCATCAGTTAGAATCTATGGGGAAAATAGGTAAGACCAGGCTCCCACAATATAAAGTTCAAATGGCCATTCCCAAAAGAAACGTGCAATCTTTTCCTGCTTCCTATCAGCAATAAAGAAATAAGTGTAATTCCAAAGCAACGCTGCTCTATTTGCCACCTATTTTGTACCTCTTGAATTGCCTAAAATTTTGTTTACATGTTTCAGTACACAGTAGTTTTTGCATTGCATTAGTCTAAC